GACCTGATTAAAGTTTGTATCTTACTGAAAGATTTTAAATGCTTTTTTGCACTCTTAAGTTTAGAAAACCATCTCTGTGAAGAATTAAAACTTAAAAATGGAAAACTTTGTGTTTTATTAAATAATTATGAATTAGTTATGAAATAATTTCTGAAAGGAGATTAATATAGGAGAGATACCACTTTCATACTTATCCTAAGGCCCTTTGTGAACTTGGTGCCAATCCGACAGGGTGCCAGTAGAGAAGTTGTCTGCTAATCTCATTGCTTAAACTAGTGATTTTGGAAATCCTGTCCCATTAGGATCATAGGCCTTTGGTGTTTTTAAACTATTGGCCATCTTATAGTTACCATTACTGAGAGACTCCTATGAGTCAGACACTGGTCAAATCCTTTAATTATATGATCTCATGTAATCCTCCCCACACTCAGAAATAGCCGTCATCACCATTTTACAGATGAAGAAACCGAGACTCATTATTATTAATAATAGATCCCATTTATTGAGCATTTGCTGTATTTTACCTTTCACCTTGCAGTTTTGCCCTCATTTAATACTTATAAAATCCTCTGAGGTAGGAATAACTACTTTCCGTCTTATTTTACAGATGAGAAAATTGAGGCTCAAAGAGTTTACGTCACTGGCCCGCAATCACAAAGCTGAGGAATAGGGAAGCCAAGATTCTTCAGGTCCTCGCTCGTAATCTCTAGTTATACCATCTCCTGGAAAGAGGGGGAGGGAGGGAGGATGGCGGCCAACAAGTCAGGCAGAGTGTGAACTTTCTCCCCAGAGAGGATGACGGATGAGTAAGTCATGATGGCTGTCTTCCAAATGTTCAGACGTCGTCACAAGGAAGAGCAAGTTGATCTCTTCAAGGTAGCCCTGACTTCTCTCTCACCAAAGGAAGAATTTTAATAGAACAGCTCTCGAGGGGTGGTTTCAGGAAGAAGTGGACTCCTTTCCACTGGCATGTGACTCTTCAATCTCAGCCTGATCGCTGATCAGCAGGGAGCTTGTTTTTACGAAGTAGACTCCCGGGTGAATCTGACGTAGGTGGTCTGGGATCCCACGGGGAAATACCCAATAGGCAATGACTAACCCAACCATTGAAGAGGGGATCCTTTGAGTATAGGGGAGGTTGGACTGGATGATCCCTATGTTACCTCCAGATCTCTGGAACCAGAACTGTAAAAATAAAATCTTGAACTGCTAGGAATGTTATAGGATTGACTCTGGAAACTTCTGTGAGCTAACTGCTTTCTTTGCAAAAAGAGCTGAATTGCCATCTGGTGAATTGCCTAAAAGTTCCTTACAGTCATTCACCTCCAAACTGTGGAATCATTTTCTCATTTAATTCTGATACCCTCCAGTTTACAGACCAGGAATCAGACTCAGAAAGGCGAAGCAGCACACACAGCCTCGGCCCCACATCCAGCAATTCCTGGTCTGCGGCTTCTCAAGGGCTTGAGTTTCACAGATGAAGCCAGTGTGTATTAATCACAAAAGTTTCCAGTTTTACTCCATTAGGCAATTAGGAGAAAGTTTAAGAAGTTCTGGACAGCCATCGCAGTGAAACAAAGTTCCCGGATGCTTCAGGACAATGTTTCTCAAAGGACAAGATGCTGTGTTAAAGATGCAGAATTCTTGCCTCTATCTTACGCCCGCTGCTATGGACTGAAAGTTTGTGTCCCCCCCAAAATTCATTTGTTGAATCCTAACCCCCAAGGTGATGTATTAGGAGGTGGGACCTTTGGAAGGTGATTAGGTCATGAGGGCAGAGCCCTCACAAATGGGTTAGTGCACTTATAAAAGAGACCCCAGACTCCCACGCCCCTTCCGCTATGCAAGGTTACGGCAAAAAGACAGCCGCCTGTGAACCGGAACACAGGCCTTCTCCAGACACTGAATCAGCGGCTCTATCTTGGACTTCCAGCCGCCAGAACTCTGAGAAATAAATGTCTGTTGTTTATAAGCCACCCAGTGTGAGACTTTGTTCTAACAGCCCGATGGACTAAGACACCCACTGAATCAGAATCTTCGTGGATGGGGACAAGGATTTTGCCTTTGTAAAAGCTCTCCAGTGCATCCTACAGTTGCAAAATCATTGTCTGCAGGAAAAACACTCAATTTGTGGATGGAAAGTAAGAAATTTTCCATTTGCAAATTAGAAAATAATCTTTTTTAGTGATGACTAATACTGAATACAATTACCAGAAACTAAAAGGAAACAAGATTTGCCGTGTGCGTGTTTGGGAGGTAGTACTACACAATTGTTTATTTCCAACGTGTTTGTCACGAAATGGAAGGTTAAGTGAATAACTCAACATGAAATGCCGCATGAGCACCTCAGTGGAATCACATTACACTTGAACACATACACGCAGGAGTGTGTGCTCGCACACCCACCCCCCCCCCCCCCGCCCCAAACTGCATTTCCTTAAACTGGGTGGTACGTCTAGAGGCATGACCTTGGAATGCTGGAGTGTTGGTTTCCAAAGACAGGTTTGACTGAAGAAAGAAACCTGATGAACCCAGTTACATATCAAGTACAATAGCAGAAATTACCCTGTAATTTTGAGAAATGGAGCAAAATGTCAAGGAAATCATTTTGTTAGTGACAAATTGACAATACATCTATTCATGATTTTATTATAGACAGTTGTAACTAATAAAGAAGCAAATGCAAAGAAACGGTCACCACAATCTCGCAGCCCCCAGTCAAGCTCTCTATGCTCCTTCACAGCCTTGTTTGGATGCATATATATTCTAAATATTATCTTTATTTGCAGCCCCCTCAATTCTTTTGTATGACGAGTTGACCTTTTCTCAGTCTTACATAAAAGGCTATGAAAAATTATAGCAGTTCTGACCACATTATTACCCCTCAGCCTGTTAGGAAAATTCTAGAGGTGGTTTTTGCTTTTTGTTGCTCAACATAATAAAGAGTGCTCAGTTGACATGCTTTATTCCATTGTTTGTGCCATATTTACCAGAACACTCCCCTATGGCTGTATAAGTATTGCAATTGTTTCTCTTTTTTTCTTCTAGTAATTCTCAAATTAGTTGGTTATTTCTGAAGTCAGGGTCGGGGAGGGGGGAGTTTGGAAGAAATGCTATTAATGCTTATTAGTTATTACAGGAAATAGTGTTCCCTCTGATTTACCATCTAACCTTTTCTTCCAAAATTTAATTTCTGCTAACTTCAGTAAGGATGTTAAGTGTTAAAAAAAAAAATGTGGAAACATGAACTCCCGTGTATTGAGAGTATATGGAAAAAATGTTCACTTACTGTTTTACCTATAAACACATGCACATTCTCTTTACTTTTTAAATTTTAAAGCATTCTATGCAACTAAATGACATAATGTAAGTCCTAATTTCAATACACACAATTTTTAAGACACTGTTATTCATTACCAGACCCTTTATTTTTCAAAGTGGCCAATACATTTGAATTTGGAATTTGTAGTTTCACTCTCTTTTCAAAATCCGCTCCACATTGTCTTCACACCTTTGTATGATGCTCGCCTAACTATCTCACCATCCTTACAAGTATTGTTGCAGAAACCGTCAGGCGAAGTTCCCATCCCATCACCACCTACAGACCTCTCTGAGAGCTCTTGGAGATCGCCAGTTGCTTGGCATCTTCGTTTCTCCAAGACCACCTGCCTCTCATTAACAGAGCTCCTTCCCCACCAATGGATCACATAATGGACTTAGAAGCAGAATTGCTAGGTTAATAATTGATAGGAATTAATAAAATTTTCTTCTGTCAACCAAGGTGCACTCCAGCAATTTTAAGTAAAAAGGGCTTTAATATAGGGAATTATGTGCTTAAAAATCATTAAAAGGATTAGAGAAGCAGGCAGGGGTTACTAGAATTCCTCTCAGATCAACACTGCAGAACGGGCCCTCTTTAAGAGCTGCTACTTGGGCTACAATCGGAAACTAGGGAATAAGAAAGCCAGAGTCTCGGCTGCGGCAAGCGGGACTGTCTCATCTCAGTTGTAATCCAGGTGTCAGAAAGCTGCCAGCTTGGCTCCAGAACACACCACAGGTGCTGGATTCACACCAGCACCGTGACTGCCTCACACCCTGCTGCGGTATCTCTCCTGACTCAACTGGGTTCCACGCTCAGACCTCGAGTGCGTGCATCGGAGTAGCAGAACCTAAATTACATCTCAGTCTTGGACTACAGATTAGTTAGGGAAATGGAGTTTTTTACCTTCAACGTAGTTTTTCACTTTCTAGCCTCTGCCACCCAGGAAAGCGCATCAGGACAAAAAAGTTGGAATAGATGCTGAGCAAACCAATCAGAATCCCCGCTTGACCATGTTTCCCTGTACCCTCCTCTAACTCCTACCTCTACACTAAGTCCTGTGCCTAGAAAGAGCTGTCTGTTCCCAATGCTTCCACTTCCTTACCTCCCACTCGTTCCTTAACTCACAAAGTATGACTGCATCCCTCTCATATCACCTCTTATCACATGACCTTTTCAATCACCTTGCTTTGCTTTCTCCCCTCTATCCCCCTTCCACTCCTATTTAGTGTTCTCCAAGGTCTGCACTTAGCACTCCCCCACTCTCAGCCTGTACACTCCGCCTGGGTGATCCTGTCCACTTGTGTGCCATACACCACGTGCATATAATCCCCCAAAACATAACTCCAGCCATAAAATCTCTCCCAAGGAACAGACCTAGCTTCCCAACTGCATTCTGAAAGTGCCACAGGAATATCCCAAGCACCTTAAATTCGACATGTGCAATACCAAACGCATCATCTTATTTCCAAAATCTGTTCTCCCCCACATTCCATGTCTGTGTCAATTGCACAACTATTCACCCACTTGCCAAGCTAGAACCCTGGCAGTTGATTGATTCTTCTCTTTCTCTTTCTGTTCCTATATCCAAACTGTCTCTAAGGCCCATAAATTCAGTGGAATCCTTTGACCTGAGCTCTTGAGCTTAACAGGAGCTCTTTAAAGAAAGACCTCACACACACTCATTCTAGCACTTTATTGGAAACTGGCTGTGCACATCAATGAAAACAGATCAAAGTAAAGGCATCATTTTTACACAATAATATCCTGATATCGGTGCTATCTTCTAACATAATTTAATAAATCCCAGGATGCTCCTGATTTTGGTCAAAGAGCTTGGATGGTCCAGAAATCTCTCTATATAAATATAAATTATAGCATCTAAAATAACCATCATTGTTTTGAGTTAGTTCCAAAAGTCCTGGGAACATGTCTTAAAATGCAAGTCTGTACCTTGGACTGGCGGCAGTGCTGGTGGGAGGGAGTGAAGGGATACACGTTACACCATGGAGCTAATTATAGCAGGAGCCGGGGCAGAGCTCCTCTATGTGGGGCATACAGGGGGATGGGGCCTGGAGATCCCGAGAGCTGCCCAGGGAACTGAGCCACCCTGCATTTTCCAACGTTGCTTGAGTGTCACAGCTATGAGACTCCAGTGCAGAAAGAAGCCCATCGCCCCAGCTTCCTCGGCATTGCTAAGAAATGGCAGAGCCCTCCTCCAGATTGCATAGGGGCAGAGACTGTAGCACAGAGAAAGTCTCAGGAAGTTCCACCCATCTCCCTTCCCCTGCCATGCTCGAGTACCTCCCAAATTAGGAAACTTGAGGGAGTGACACTCAAAGAAGACCACTTTTGAGCCAATGCATTGCTGGCGCCTTGGAATGAAGACAGGGTGGATTTGCTTGGTTTGACCCAAGGAGCATGGGCACAGGCTGCTCTGACCCCACTGTCTCCCTCACCACCTTGAAAGCCATCATCAGCAGTTAGATCCTTTGGTTCTTGAGAGCTTCTCGGCACTCAGCAACAACACCTACATATCTGTGGTGACTTAACTGCTCACAAACAGCTTTAACCTCCACTAAGTCACTGGTTCTCACAAACCTATGAGGTAGGAAGGGGAGGGATCATAATCCCCATTTAAAAGATAAGGAACCTGGAACTCACAGAACTAGGTCCCTTGACCACACAGCTGGCCAGTGGCAGAATCAAAATCAGAACTCAGGTCTCCCCTCGCATATCAAGCTCCAGAGTCCACACACCAAAGTCCCTCCTGCTGCCTTTCTGAGAAAGGGGAAGAGGCATGGGAAGGGGATGCTGTCCTCATCCCTCACCTGCCCCTCCTGGGAGGTTCTCAGACAGCCCCATTGAGGACAGGATGAGTCCGCATGCGATAGATGATGACAGCAGTGGCTGGGCACAGCAACAACGAGGTCATGATGACAATGGTGGCCAGGATGATGAGGACAATAACCCAGATATCCAGAATGTGCTTGGGGAGCACGACTTCCACGGGGACCTGGCTGACGGCATCCATGCTGCTTCACTCTGCAACAGACAGGGAAGAGGCAATCACTGTTTTTGTACCCTCTCCCTGCCCCCTAGTTGGATGAAAACCTGCTCCAAGAGTCAGAAGCTTGGGTCACTTACCAGCTGTGTGCTTGTTAAGGTTGCTTGATCAATAATAATAATGGCCCCATTTACCGAGGACTGTGCTAGGCACTTTATATGTATTTACTCACTTAGTCTCCACTTCAACCACCAATCCTATGAGGTAGGGACTATTATTGTCATCCTTTTTTATTTCTTGGTCTTTATCTTCAGTTATTCTCATTTTACAGATGAGACTCTTAACGTCTTAAAAGATGGAGATATAGTTAATTTGCCCAAGGAGGATCGGTGGGACTCCAGAGCCTCCATCTTTAACTATTAAACTATCATGTTACCTGTCTGTTTCCTCATCTGTATAATGGGAAATGCATTGTTTTTGGTCCTTACCCCTTCTCCCATTCTCCTGGTAACAGGTTCTGTGGAGCACCGACCTACCCCTTGTGGTTTAGTTGGGCCACTTGCCTGAGCACAGCGATGGATATGTGACCTAGGCTTGGCCGTTACCAATCCCCATAGCCTCGATTCAGGGATAGGCAAGCGATCCAGGCTAGGTCAACCAAAGTCCTCCCAGGGCTTTTATGCACAAACTATCGGGAAGGATGATTCTTTCTGCTGAGATTGCTAAACTGAAAGGATGTGAGTCTGGAAAGGATGAGTGTGGGGCTATCTTACCCACATGTGAGAGACTATCCTGGAGGTAGAAAGAGAAATGGAACCTTGATGACTTCATTTAAGCACCTAAACCCAGCCCAATCGGATGCCATCTGCATCCCTGGACATCCCAGATATATGAGCCAATAATTTCCTATTTTTGCTTAAGACAGTGTCAGTTTGATTTCTCTCACTTGCAGCTAAAAAAATTCCAATGGATAAAGATGTAAATCAGTTGTTCCCAAACTTTTTCAATTCACAGTACCCTTAGTGTCTTAGTAATGTTTTCACAGCATCCCAGGACAAAAGAAATACCTGGCAGTTCTGTTTATTAAGTAGTTAAGTTCAAATAACTTAATAAGCATTTATGTCCTAACAAATTAGTAGCTGTCTGAAAAAATAATACACACAAATTGAAAGAAAAAAAGTATTCTTATTTCACTCTTAATCAGTTACCAATGGGATGTGTGCAACAGTTGGGCGCTGCACAACTTTTGAAACTTTGGAACCAGACTGGACAATAGCATCCTCATTTTCTATTCAACATTCATTTGTGCAGTACTTGCTGTATCATGGCAACCACCAAAAACTCAGCTTCACCAAATATAACATCACCAAAAGGAACGCAGTAAGATTAATGTTAAACTGTGTAAGCTATCTTGAGCTAGTAGTTTACACAATGTCTGAGAGAAGGCAAATATCAATGTTCCCGTCAAAAATTTTAAAGATCCTGCAGCTCCCCACGCAACACACACACCTTTCCAGTGAGTTCACTGTGGCTTCCTAGGGCCCAGTGCACGACTTGGGAACCACAGATGTAACACATTCCCTGCCCGAAGAGCACAAGGCTGGAACAGACAATCTTCTATGATTCTAGATCTCAGATCCATAATTCTGTGATTCTAGATCTCAGATCTGTAATTCTGTGATTCTAGGTCTCAGGCAAAATTCCCAATTCCAGTCCTGTTTCCTGCTTTCCCCAATCAAAAACTTTTCCTTTCTAATGCCTTTGGCTTTGTGCCCACTGTTGCCACTCTAAGAAAGCTACTGATTACCGTACCCAAAGTAGATTCCCCAAGGTGTACATACAAAGATGTTTATTTCTGCATTGTTTATTACAGCAACCAACACAACATGTGTCCATCAATAGTAAAATAAAGAGGGTATATCTACGTAATGGAATACCATGCACAATTTTCATTCATCCGTTCATTCATTCATTTAACAAATATATAGTCTTGCTACACTCCAAGCATTGTTTCAAATGTGTTCCAAATATTAACTTATTTAATGGCTATTAAAAAAAATGATGACCTATGGTGAGCTCAAAAATATTTTAAGTGGAAAAAAATAAAGTGCAGGATAATATGTATAGGAAGATTCCTTTGGTTCAGATTTGGTACAAGTAAGTAGACAGACAGGTGAGGGTGGATGAAGGAAAATTCTTTTTCGAGCAGAATCTCAAGAAAGTGTTAGTGGTGATTACCTTTGGGGAGTCAGACTAGGAGCGGGAGAGGTTTTCGCTTTTCATTCTTCATGTTTTTAGACTGAATTTTCTAAACATTAGCATGTATCACTTTTAATTTTTTTACATTGACCTGGTTGAGGGAAAAACCGGATTTGGGTTTTTTTTCCTTATAATTCTCTGTATTAAAAAGAGTAAATACATACATACACAATTTCAAGTCAAATAAAATTAAGATATGAGACTAGATCAGTGGTCAGCAAATGCCATATGCTGTGCTGAGAACTACGTTGGGACTGTACAAAAAGACATTGACTTCTAGGTCCCATCCAGACTTACTGAACTGGACTCTAGAGGAGATGGGAGGGGGGCTTGTTCCCGTTTCCCAGGTGATTTGAATGTGCATCCAGCTTTGGCAACCCCTAGACTCAAGGATTTCTAAAGCCTCTACAACTCTTTCCAGCACTATGATTTGGGAATTGATTCTGGGTGCTCTGTGGCCAGTCTGGTCAGATCTGGGCAAGTTCCAGGGTGATGGAGGAGCCTCCAGCAGACTCCTGCGGGCTGCAGGATTATCAGGCTGGGGCCTGCGGGGGAGGGAGAGGCACAGGCCGGCCCTGCCTCAGCCTTGGAAACATGGTCACTTTCTCCAAGGTCTAAGGCAGAAAAGCATGAGTCACAGGAGACACAAACTGCTAAAGAGGGATGGGGGTGGGAGAAATCATTCTTTGTGGTCTCCTGGTTACATCAACAGCTAGCCTGCCTTATGCCAAAGGAACTCCACGAAAGCCCTTGCTGGTAAACCCATTAACATCAAACAGTCACTGTGACTCCAAATGCCAGGAATACACAATCCCCCTGGCTGACCTTCATAAGCAAAACCTGTCATTTACAGGAACTCAGACTTCAGGGCTCATCCACAACCAAGAGTCATGGAACACTGAAGCTTAGAACCAGCCTGATTTCACAGATGGCAAAGCTGAGGTCGGAAGGTCTTCCCCCACCTTCAACTCCACCTCCTTCCAGAATAATCATTCAAAGACATAAATCTGATCAAATTACTGCCCCTAACTAAAACAAAACAGAACGGAACAAGTGGATAAATAAATGAAACTTCTTCTGTAACCCGTCTTCTAGACTGCATCAATACTACTCCTGTGCACGTAAATTGTTTAAAACCCCCATCACAAAAACAAATAAAAGCTGGAGCCGCTCAGGATGACAAGGAGGGGCGAGGGGAGGGGGGTTTGGAGTCCTCCTCAGTCAGCAGGGCTGGGTAAATACCGAGAGGCCCCAAGCACTAGAGGTTAGGAGCCCCCTCCCTTCTATATACAATTCAAACTAACAGCAATACTAAACCATAACACAAAAATGTACATTTTATGATGAAATTAAAGCCCTTTTTCTTCCTAACTGAAAAAATTTGAGAAAAATAACGTTTCCCAGTAATTTTTTTGGTGTCTCTGCTCACTTGGTACAACACAGCTGTTCAGCTTCTCCTTGACCTCTTGGGCTCCTCAGAATACAGTTTGAAAACCATAGGTTGTGATGTTCTCCAAGGGCCCTGCCAGAAATTCAGGGTTCTAAGGCCAGCCATATGTGCGGCCCGGCGCTGGAGGGCACAGGGAGCTCTATCTCCCTTTTTTAACCTTCTCAATCCTCAAACACGTGTCCTCCAGCAGCTGTTCCTTCTCATGTGAGAGGGGTTCCAGTCACTCCCACCTCTCCTCACTGTGCAAGAAAACTTTTGTCCCCAAAGTAAGCACTATGCAAACCATATGTTCAGCATCTTTAATGGCATGCTGGAGAAATTTGCTTGAGAAAAAGCAGGACTCGACGTGGCTGCTAGCTGACTTCTGTTTGACCTCTGTTGGCATCCGGGTGCACTGGCTCCTTGTGAGTGCATAAAACCCTGTTTCTTGTTACATCTCACTAATAACCATAGATCAATCTGCTTATCGTTTGCTTTGCAGATATATTATTTATTTCTGATTGATGGGTCACATTGGAATACAGCCCAAACCATTCATGTTACAAATTTAACCTTATCATTGGTAAAAATAAAATGTTTTTGTGACCAGGGCAGGTAAAACAGCAGCCAAGCCTAAACTCTTGGCTTTTTAAACTGGCATACTTTATCTGCTATTGACCTTATTAATAAATAATCAACTTTGACACACATTCAATATAAGTTTGTGTAAGAAGCTGTGTTAACACCACCCTGAGCTGACAAGCAAAGAAGCCGACAGCGTCACCAGCCACTGACACCATCGGGGCCCTCCACCACCAACCCTGTGAACCAGCACATCCTGGCTCCCCTTTAGACCAGAGAGTTTAAGCAATTTAGGCAATTCAATGGAAAAGTTAATAACCCCAAAAAGATTATTTGTATCCATTATCAAGATCATTATACCTTCTCCAAAAGTGGAAAATTCATCACATCTATCAGGTACGCCACTAGGTCCAACTGGCGAAGGAAAGGGGGGGCCCCTGCTGCCTGCCTGGAAAACATCAACTTTTACTTCTGGAGCTATTTTTCTTAAGCAACTGAAAATCCTTTTGCAAAAAATAAATAATAAGAATAATCACTATTCCAGCCAATCCCATCATATGGTAAATTTTCTAGTTCCAACAAAAAAGACATAAATTAAAATTTCCTACAAGTCAGTGGTTTTAGAACAACTGAATTCAAGGTGCCTAATCTGTGCTATCCATCTGCTTTTCAATCATGAGACTCACTCCCCAGGAAGCAACTTCTACCTCTGACACAGCAATATTGTTTTTGGTTGAGCACTATCAGGATGAGTAACTCTGTCTAGAA